TTCAGACAGAAAGCTAAATCCTTGATTAAAAAATTGAACCAAATTTCTTGACGTGGTTACCGACTGCAAGATAGAAAAGACCACAGTGTATCTGCCATTTTTCTTATTTATTCAATTTTCAGCAATGGAAATTAGATCAGTCTTTCCTCACGCGAAGCTTATGATTAGTTGATTACAATGACTGGAAAAAAATTGGGGTGCCCGTGCTCGTTGTTGAGCTAGAGCCATTTTTCAACTGAAAGAGCTCAATATCAAGGCAAATCCGTCATGTTTTCAATATGCGCGTGCACGAGCGCGCGCTAATGACGCCATAAATTATGCGCAGTAAGGATGCGCAATGCAAATGTGAGGAATGACCTTAAGCTCATAATCTAAGTTTTAACAAGTCGGAAAGTTGCATTTCTATAAACTTCGAGATCTCCCCCAGCAGTTTTAACTAACCAAGTAATGAACAGTCCTGCTTTTCTCTGGAGCGCGTCCCTGGTATTTCATTTCCGTTTCTATCAACACACCAGCACTCTCCTGTGGTCTGGAGACACTGTCTGTCGTCGTATGAACCGTCCGCCTTACAGCGGGGAGAAACATGTCCGGGTGGAGGGTTATCAAGGCACTCTTCGCGACGAGACTGGCATACGGTCATCGTTTTATCTGCTTAATGAATAAAGAAAGAAATTAACACTCACAAGAATTTCGTGTCGACGGCCTTACATTACAGAATAAAAAAAAAATGTACTTATATCTTCATTCCTTTTGATGAAAGAAATTACCAACTTTTCAAAAACGGCGTGGTTCCAACAAAAATGCGGCTATCCATCAACGTAAAAGAAGTGCTTGCATCCAGAAAGTATGTGTGGTATCCGGAGAGAGTGGAAAACTTGTGGATATTCTATACAGACACCTAAATACACGACGTTCACTGAGGTGATACGTTCTTGTAAATTGCCTTTCCTATTGATTGATGAATGAGACTGCAGGTACAATGAAGTATGTGATAACAAAGTCGCCCCACACCCCCTTTCTTTGGTCATCTTAGATCTGGGATGAAGTAGTTGTCAGTAAATACACGAGGCAATATTCGCCGAATTTGGCTTTCTCAAACATACCTATGTCAGAACAGTTCGGTTTCCCCCATTGGTGAGTTCCTGCCAGCTCGCTTCCATTCTTGTCAACACACCAGCATTTGCCTGACATATCATGACACTGAACTGGTTCAAATGAGCCATCTGGTTTACAGCTTGGGACAAATAAACTGATTGGCGTCCTACTGCGCATGGTCATAGCTCTCTTGTTTTCCCTCTGACACGGGGTCATAGCAGCTTCAAGAAAGAAAAAATTGTAAAAGTCTCTTGTCTACACTGCCGTTAAGAAAGTTATCATCTAAATACTAGTAACTATGTCTGCTCTCTTTTCGTACCTTGTATCGTACAGTTTGGTTTCCCACTTTGTCTCGTTCTGGGGATTTCATGGCCATCTTTGTTGACACACCAGCAGACATCGTAAGCTTCAGCACACTGCACCTCCTCGTATCCACCGTCAGGTTTACATTTTGGAAGCGAGCGACCACTAACTTGGACGTGAGGACATGATGACCACAACGTCTTGACATGCTCATTGACACAAGCTGAGATTGGAGCTGGTGGGTATAAGAGATGAAAAGAAAGATATCGTAACTATTTAGGAATTGTATAAAATAAAAAAATAAAAAAATCTATGAAAAGAGACTGGTTTCCAACTCGATATCTATGATCAAGAAAATAACCAATTATATTCTAAGTGTATCAATACAAGGTTATTGTTAAGAGATCATCAAATTACCAAAATTAGTATGTAAAACTAAAACAGTGGCGATCTTATTCCGGAAGAATTGCTTAGTCATCACTCATCGGTCAGTATTACGTCCTAACCTAAACCCACAATATTTTGGCCAAAAAAAAAGGTTTCTCCAAAAAGCGAAAGAAAATCCCTAGTTAAGAGGGTTCTCTTTCCACAAAACCCTCTTAACTACAGTTTATATTTCTGGTAACAACATTGAATGGTGGAATAAGCGGGTCTCCTCTGCAGAGACTTGAAGCTTCTGAAGTCAGCAGCAGTTAGTCCATTATCCATACCTGGTTTATCTGACGAAACACGCGTACAACGCCTAACACAACCACAGTCACAGCATTTGGATAATTCTGGGCAGTCACTGTCCTGTGAGCATGACTGCTCAGTCATTTCCGCTGGGCATCTTTTTGGGTCTGGTACGAATGGACACACTCCTGGACGAACTAAGAGCGGTTGGCATATTTTAAATTAGTCATTAACATGGATTCAAGCATGGACAGGATTTTGCTATGACTTCAAAACTGAAGAAATCACATCAAATCCATTACAACCCGCCTGAAATTCATTGCACTCAGTGGCATGCGGGAAAAGTTTTTAACACAAATAAATAATTTTTTATAGCCATTTAGCAGAGAATTGATCCGGAAAACCTATTCGTATTGAATGACTACGTTACACGAGCATTTCTAAGCCAAAACGGTTGATATCCAGTTTTCAACAATTAGCTATTGACCGAGAAGTGAAGTGCCACTGCGATTCCAAAATCTTTTGGCAACGTCCTCATATTCGAAATTCATCCACAAAATACTTGCTACTTGCTAGTTACCTTGGGCAGGACATTTTGGTGATCCCCAACGATGTGTACCAGCAATCTCGTAACCTCGTTCGTCTGAACACCAACAGAAGTTTGTGTTTCCAAAGCACTGAATCTCTGCATATTCTCCGTCCGGTTTACATTCTGGAACAAATTTTCCAACAGAGGGGACGCCGTTGAAGCCTAAAGCGTTTCGTCTTTCTTTAAGACAGGAAGTTAGCTGTCCCGACCCTTAAAAATGAGGAGAAAAGTAAACAGAATTATTCAACGTAATTGTAATCAACAATTTCACTGTTGAAAACACACCCAGAGGCTTCAAAGGGTTTGACTATTTTCACTTGAGTTTCACTGAAAAGTTGATTCAAGTGGTCAATAATTCCGTTTAGATAATTTTTTCACTTCCTCAAATGACTTACCAGCTGCTAGGCTACAGACGGGAATTCCGGTAACCCTGGTGCCCATCAATTCTTTGCCGTACTCATCGACACACCAACAGTACCCTGTTTGTCTGTAACACTGTACGTCTTGATATCGACCGCTCGACTTGCACTTCGGAGCAAAGTGACCCAGTTGCAAGCCAGAGAGACGTTTTTGCTCAGCAAGGCAAGACGGAAGAACTCCTGAGTAACATAAAATTAAAAATATTAGAAACAAGAGGAAAAGATTGTAACGGTAAGGGTTAGGTTTACTGTTACGGTTACGGTTACAAGGAAAATGCGCGTACTTTTTCTCTCAAATATGTTGTAACTCCCGTACTTTCTCAAGTGTAGAATTTCTCCGACAAGAAATCTTAGCTGTACTTTTCGTGACTATTACTTGCAGTCTTGTGAGTTGTTTCGGAACGGTGTAGTGCTTCGCCTTTTAGGCGTTCGAAAGAAAGGTTAGTTGAGCACTGAACATGGTCTCAAGTATATCATAACTTTAAGGACTTTGAAGAAATAACCGTATTTTTACCTTTACACTTATCGATGCATTTTTCGTAGGACGGGAAGTTGTTGGCATTGCCCCCACACCCACTGTATACAAAAGTAAGGCATTCCCCAGAGGTAGCCTCGAAGTAGTGTGCAGATATTGATGCCAAGCATCCAAGTTGACCAGGTTCTGGAGCCAGGTTGCATAGCCAGTCTAAAAGGGTCAAATGGCTGAATAGTTAAATACTGAAGTTATAGCCTAGGAAATAGTTTAAACTTTGAAAATGAAGTCAAAGCCTTTCTTTATTTGTAGACTACAATGTCTTAAAAACACATGTAGCTATATTTGTGGTTAGGGGCCATGATCGCACAGCGAGGTTTCTTTGTATTACATTTTATTAAACGTGTTCAAAAACGGTAGAATAATCAATAGTACTATATTATTACCGGCTCAGTCCTGCATGTATACTTATCTAAATTTCCTCTGCAAGGAAATACATGCATCAGCATTTCCTAAAGTGGAATAGGCCATTTCCGAGTTACCTGTTCCCTGTCTCAAAACGAGTCTTCGTGCAAAACGTTTCATATGAAAATGAGTTTGATTTGCGTGAAAATGAACCTGTAGGTGGGACACATTTCCATACGAATGGTTTCGCTGGAGGACTTATTTTGCCACAGAGGCAGAAGGCAACTCTAAGGCCTATTAACTTCAGCTTACCTCTAGAGGAATCTTCAGTTCCATTTTTGATTATTTCCGTCACCACTTTACCCCGAGAACGGACAGTACTGAAGTCATCAGCAACAAACACATTTCTGTAATCCGACGATAAATCCATGAGCTCAGCAACTTTCACTTTATCTCCAATACCAATCACATATATAGACACGCCTCTATCTCTAAGTCCTTGAGCTGCTGCTGACAAGGGAGTGTAAGGTCCTTGCTTTCTTTCCTGACTGCTACTTGTTACCACAAGAAGGGCCTGCGGTCCAAAAGTGAGAAGACACTTATTTTGCTTAAAGTAATTAAGACTGAAGCACTATAAACATGAAGTGTTCACGCACATGTTCCATGACTTTCAGAACAGAAGGTTAGGAGACTAATTGTGACATTTACTGATAAAGAATCTGGAAGGAGGAACACTTCTGCAAGGTCAAAGTCTCGAACTCTCTTTAAACTGTGAAAGACCCACAACGTCCCAATAATTCCATGAACTCAAGTTTTGTCAGGACAACCTTAAAGGAGAATATAAAGCTAGCAATCATCTTTTTGGAAACCGCTGAAAGTTATGGAAATTACTAAAATTTGCAGACAAAAGGAGGAAAATAAAATTGTTCCTACCAAAATTAATAAATACAGCCAAAAGCCGTGGTCATTTTTCGAAATTGAAAGGCCAACATTTTAATTTTTTTTTCCTGGTCACTTCCAAAAAAGGAACACCAGTCGTTGTGACGTCACTGCGCACATGCAATTTTGTTCTGTTTTGTTATTTTCTGTGCAGTTTGTGAAAACCTAACCAACCCTTTCATGTAATATAGTTATCAATCATAAAGATTTAGTTAGGTTTCCGCGGACTGGACACAGAAAATAACCAGACATCAAAAATCGCAAGTAGTTCTCTTTTTGTTGCCCTGTTTTACAGATGATAGTAGTAATTCTCGTATTTTTCAGTGGTTACATATAGTATAATTCCGAGCCTTTCGTCATCATTGGAAGGCTTTTAGTTCTTGCATCTTAGCAGGCAAAACGTCTCTCCCTCTAAATTTCCCTTGTTAAAGTGAACCCTTGCTATACCTTGGGAATTTCAATTCTCATTCCTGTCGCCTCGTTGAAGAGTTCTTCTTCAGCAAGTAACAATGCTAAGTCAGACCGACTCCAACCATCCTTATATTGGAGATTATTTACAGCTTTAGTCACGTTCGTGGCAGTGAGATTATTTTCCTGTAAGGTGTTAAAATATAGCGATATTTCCGCATCACGGCTGAATACAATAAGTCCAATATGAGTTCCTCTGGCGGAGATGTCAAAAGAATCCACAACTGAGGAGACGAATTCCAACATGATCGGCCAGTTTTCCTTTGTAACTGAGTCGGAAGCGTCGATCATAATACCAAGGTCTAGGGGTGTTTCGTGGTCTGAGAGGCAAAGAAATTGTAAATTAGTTTTAGAGCTGTTCTCAATTTAGTCTTATAAAATCTATATCTACTACAGAATGCTGAATCACTCATAAAAGAAGACACACACACTCCTGTGAACCAATCAAAACTCCAAGGGAATACATGCAACCGACGCAAAACGCCGGAGAACGTGTGTGAATAAGTCGCGATTGATTTGGAGGAGTCATGTAAAACCAAAGCAAATAGGAATTACTTTCGACAATCGAGTTAAAAACCACCCTATTGCTTTGCTATATTTAGTAAACCACGGCATTAATCATTCATTCGAACATTTACTTACGCTTAACCAAATTGAATTTTCCACAGGCATGTCGAACAAAATTTCATTCTGTTAAATCAAATATTTTACTGATTTGTCGCGACACAGGAAATCATAAATGACTCCATTATTCTCCTACCTGGTGGAAGTCTGGCGCAGTGAGGCCGTCCCCACTTCCTAGTTCCCAGTATTTCATTGCCTTTCTCGTCCACACACCAACAAAGACCGGTATATCCGTGACATTGCACATCATTGTAACTTCCGTCAGGTTTACAGCGTGGCACGTAAGTTCCGGGAGGTGGATTTCCCGCCAGACCAAGAGCTCGTGTTCTGTGACGTTGGCAAGCGGTTATATTTACTAAAATCAAACCATTTACATATGAAAAAGCTTCGGACATACTCTGTTATGTATAAAGTGCCCAGGATATATACCAGAAAAAAGGGGGGAAATATGGAATAATAAAATATACTGGTGATATTGGAGCCGTAAGTAGTGGTTTCTTACTATGGTTTCATCCTAAGGTTTTTACTGAGATTGGTCATCAAAAATTGTTACAGTAAAAGATAATAATTTCATTACATCAAAAGATAAAATACATTCTTACACCAAATTATCTTGCATGTCATTTAGATCCAACAATATCGCCTGACCGTAAGGTAGATACATGTAAGTGATAAGAAAAAACTCCTCCACTTAAGGGAAACTACGATTCAAACAATGTCTTGCATGAAGTAAAATTCCCTTCTACTCGCTGACTTAAGGCAAAATTTTGCTGTGATGTTGCTACAAACCTACGCAGTCAGGCAATCCTCGGGCTGTAGTTCCCCGGATTTCGTTTCCGTTTATATCTACGCACCAGCACTGTCCTGTGCCCACGTGACACTGAATTTCATGATAACCGCCATCTGCACGACACCTCGGTATGAAGTTCCAGACATTAGGCCCACTCAAAGATAACTCCAAGGCTATCTTTTGGCGTTTTTGGCAATATGTGAGATTTCCTACTAAGAGAAAAAGGAGCGAAAGAGAATTAGATACAATCAAATGAGCGTGATACCATTTTACAAGCTAAAAAAACAAGCAACACTATATGCTCAGATATCCTTCACCAACGCATTAATGAACTGAATGGACTGGCAGATACGCTGGGAATCCCATCCATACCGCACATCACTAAGGTACCTAATACGAATCGAAAGACTTTTTAAAAACTCTCCTCAGCATTCAGCACATCTTTATCATTTTACTAGATTTCAACTCCAGGGTCAGACACTTAAACTAAAAAATGTAAAAAAAATAGTTGTTAATCAGTCCTTTTATATGTACCTTCACCAGGGCACCTAATGACACCTGCGCTTCTAGTTCCTCTGAACTCCCTCCCATCTCGATCAACACACCAGCATTGACCTATCGCGACATCACACTGCACGTCATCATACGTGCCGTCAACTCGGCAACGGGGAACGTACTTTCCCTCCATTAGTGGGAGATGCAAGCGACGGGCGCGTTCACGTTGGCAGGGTGTCACTATGAATCCATAAGAGGCTACCAAAGTAAGAAATAGTCTATGTTATCTCAAGAGTAGCACTCATCGTAATTAACCTCAGTATAAGTCCAATTGGCTGCTCATTTATTCTTGAAAAGGCCTCCCAAAAGATGCTAGACTACTTATGTCACGTCTTTGCTGTCGTACAAACTGCATCGGGCTAGTCAGCCGTATCAGATAACACAGCAAACTTATTTGGTGGCATCCGCCGTAGGGACCAAAAGTTTCACATAAAATCAATGAAAACGCCTTGACTTGTTGTGAAAAATGAACCAGTTTTAAAGGTATTTGATCAAGTAGCTAATGAACAAGGCAAGGAACCAATGAACACAACGGAATAACGGGATGGAAATAAATTATGGACTACAAATGAAGTCTATGTTCTGTAATAAGGGAGCCGTTTTCTTTGCGTCCCTTCCAAACCTTGTCATCGTTACTGTTTATGAAACTTACTAGCAGCCCGACAGTCTGGCTTCCCAAGGCTGACGTCCACGCTCGTGCCTGCTATTTCATCGCCTCTGTCGCTTATACAAAAAAATTGTGACGCCTGCACTTGCAAGGAAGAAAAGCTTCCATCAGATCTGCACCATGGAACATGAGAACCAGCGGATGTGCTTCTGATGCTCTTTTGAAAGCGAGTCCAGCAAGGTGAGTGAGTGTCTGTACAGAACAATATGGCACATTACTTTACCTTCTGTACACGGGAGTTTAAATTTGCTCCAGAGAACTGTTAGGAACACAAATACACAAATACCTTACAAATATCTCACCAATATTTGGACATGTAACCGTTCGATTTGTGGCTGTAGATGACAGTTCGTTCCCGTCTCGGTCCACACACCAACACGGTCCTGTTGAACTATGACACTGTACCTCCTCGAAACTACCATCAAATTTACATCGCGGCACGAACCTGTCAGGGTCTGGGGGAAGGCTTATTGCCTCTTGTAACTGCTTTTGACATTGGGTTAATGAGATTTCTGAAAAAAAAACAAAACAGACCACCATATATATAGAAGAGCCCACCTCGTGACCTGCAAACAATTCAACAGCCTCCGATTATGTGCACTACCGCCTGAAATTGATTTTACGGAAACAAGTATTCTACGCATGCGCTGTTGAACACACGTCCATGAAAGGGCAGCTCTACTAACTACCAAGTTTATATGATTATGATTACCTGGCCTTGAGCAGACTGGATTACCCATCGCCAGACTTCGTCTTGTGTCCGGTAACTCTATGCCTTCACGGTTGACACAAAAGCAAGAAGATCCATGACACTGAATCTCTTGGAAGGCTCCAGTCTTACTGCAGCGAGGTTCAAAACGACCCGGCATAGGATGTGTTACATAGTCCTGAAACTGCTTCTGACACAGAGTCAACTTGTAACCTGGAAATTTAATAACTCTTTTCACTCGATTGCGTCCCAATAAAGCAATGCAAATACTAGAGCATTTAATTACGATTCCATCAGGGAGCACTTCACTTGCAAAGCCTCCAAGGGCACTAAGAAGATTCCCCCCACTTATATTTAATTTATTTTACCTAATTTACCAAATTTTACCTATTTTATCTAAAATGCCTCAGTCTGTCATTCCATACCTCCAGCTTTGCATTTTGGTTGCCCTTCAGTTATATCTACTCGGCTTTCAACCAATTCTACCCCATGTTCGTTGACGCAGTAGCAGTAAAATCCTTCGCATTGCACAGGGTCGTAATTCCCGTCGAGTGTACAACGAGGAATATAAGGGCCGGGTAAAAGCCAGCTTCTGAGTCTCTCTTGATAATCCTTTTGGCACGGTGTTAAGGCGGCTCCTGCAAAATGGACAATACGCACCAGGTTAAACGGAAACTGATGATGAAAGAGACACTCTTCTCTACGTTCTCTACTCTACGTTCTTCACTCTACTTGCTGCTCTTCAAGCCTTTTCTAGAGAGATCGAAATTTGCTCACGATTTTTATTGTCAGTTTCTTTTATGTACATCAAATCTGAAGGTTACGTTGTCCATCTAAACAAAAGACGACGCTTACAGAAAATAAAAGAAAACGTAAGAAATTTCCAGACCTGCAGAAGGACATCTCAGGTAACCAGTCGTCCTTGTTCCTATGATTTCCTTTCCAGACTCGTCTACACACCAACATTCACTCGAGACTGGAAGACACTGGATCTCTTCAAATCTGCCATCGCGTTTACACGATGGAATAAGCCGCAACGGTGTGGCTGGGAGTTGTAAAGCTTCCTTGTGCTTCTTCTCACAGGTAGACAGCGGATCTTGACCTATCCGAACATGGATAAATATAGGCAAGTCGTTTAAAGCGAATATACGTATTTGCATATACATGTAAGGTGAGTTGTCACGTAACAACGTATTGCCTAAAGTGAAATTAAATGCACATAAACCAACTTAATACTAACCTGAAAGGCCACATTTAGGTTTTCCAAGCCTAGCAGGCAAGGACGTTCCTTTGATTGGATTTCCTTCCTCGTCAACGCAAAAGCAGTGGAGGTTCTGGCACTGGATAGACTCGAAAGACCCATCGCCCTTACATCTAGAGATCATTTTCCCTGGAAGTGGATTCTTGGCATATCCTATGTACCGTTCTTGGCAGGTAGATAAATGAGTCTCTGTCGGTAGATGTAACAAAATAAACCATCACCACACTAGTCATGAACCGTAACAAATCAATTTATGATAAGTAGAAGGACTATTTTACACTGGAATTCGACTTCAACTGGGGCAATGGAATGCCTCGTTCTGTTTTCGTTGTTAGTAGCTGCAAATTTAATAAGTGTTAAGGGTTCTGATGATAGGCATAAAGGGTATCAGAAGAAACTTACGCGTACATAAAGACCGCTTATTCAAACACCTACCTATTACGGGACATTTAACAGGCTCAGTTGTCCTGGTCCCTGGAATTTCTTTTCCATCCTTATCTACACACCAGCATTCTCTAGTAGACCCTTGACATTGTACCTCCTCGTACTGTCCATCGAGTTTACATCGAGGTGCCAAAACACCCTCGAAATATTGCAAAGGAGCCTCGCTATGTTTACGTTGACAAGAAGTCACAGTACCACCTAGACAGACAAAACATGAAAACTGTCTTACATAAAGATCTCAAACTATTGAAAAGAAAAACTTCAAACAATTGCACTCCAGTAATATTAATACCGCTTACTTGTATATGTGCAGACAGGTCTTCCCACTGACGTACTAATCTTTGTTCCGGGCATTTCAATTCCCTTCTCGTTAACACAGTAGCAGTATGAGCCATAGCATTGCATAGGGTTAAATGAACCATCAGCTCGGCACCATGGAAAATGTTTCTCTCGATGAGGGTTTTTCATCCAGCTCAGTAGCCTCTTTCTGCAAGGGCTTAATTTACCTAGAAATGGAAACAAAAGATTGCATGAGACTGAGGGGCGTGTTTGAGTGAGTTATTCAAAGAGTAAGTGTCTTCACAAGTGTAAGATTAAAGAACGAGATGGACCACATATATCGCTACTTTTATTTTCCTCCTAGGCGCAAAAAAGGGCTCGTTTGCCGTCTCCCGTTGCCTGCGTCTAGAGACCTACACACGAATCACATATTCAAAGTGTCAGTACAAAGTCAAACGTGTAGTTTTTGAGAATGAATTAAATTGTTTAGCTGAGTCGAGGGGTGGAGACAGCCCAATGCCCAAAAAATGGGCCGCTTGGGGTTAGAGTCACGAGATATTTCAATGTACTCATAATAGAACACCTTCACTTAGGAATACAATCGGGAAAGAAATACAAACCGAAATCAGGGCAAATTTCCAGATTAGAACCTCTAGTGCCAGGGACTTCATTCCCACCGCTGTCCACGCACCAACAATCCCTCGAAGACTTTCCGCATTGAATCTCAGACCAACTCCCATCGGGTTTACAAAAAGGAATAAATTTCTTTGAATAGAAAATGGAGTCTCGACGCTTTTTCTCGCAAGGTGTGATGTTGGCATCTGAAAGCAAACAAGCGTAAGAAAAAAAGTGCAAAATTCATTCATGTATGAAAGCGTTTCTGGATTTCGAGAAGCTAATATATAATGCTCAATGGAAGTGAAGTGGCAAATGAGAAAATTCACGCAACCTTCACAAGAGTATTGATTTGATATGGGAATTCATATCATATTCGCATATCTATCAATTGGGTTTCCAACATATATGTAATCAAGATACTATAGATTACCTGGGTGTGTGCAGTTAGGTTGCCTGGCGGAATTAACTGTCTTGGTTCCAGGAATTTCTTTTCCTTGTGGAGAGACACAAAAACAAACTCCTCCAGCGCATTGCACCTGCGCATAACTACCATCCGCCCTACAGCGAGGGATATACCGGCTGGAGGGATGTCGCCACCGCCTTAAGAGCTTCTGGTATTCCTTCTGGCAAGCAGTTAGGGGATGTACTATTGAAAGAAATTACAACGTATGGCATATGTTTAACGCCCATTGACTAAAACCACTGCCAATTGATTAAAAGTACAGATCACGAAGTGACGTCGTTGGGCCTGTCGTTCATTTGTGGAATTTTGGACTCTTAGTCGAGTATCGTAGGGAGCAAATTCAGATCTTTAATTTACTCTTTATAGATGTATATAACTAAGTCATACAACCAGTGTTTTGGGGGTGTAATAAAACTAATCGGGTGGGTTGATTTTTGCGAATTTTTTCCTCATAAAAATACCTTATGAGCCTCATCAAAGTTTCAACTCGAACGTTTGGGTATACAGTTCTGTATTTTTTAGTTTACGATTTCGATCGTCGGTACCTGGTAAAAGCTAAAGAAAGTTTGATTGGTCTCCTCGTGTGAAGGGTTTCTGATTTTATATAATTCAAACACTTTCCACAGGAGAACCCTCCACAAGGAGCCTATTCTATAATCTTTCTTTATCTATAGTTCATTACAGCTGCTACCATTTGAAGCTCAAAATAAAAAGGGTAATACACAGCGCAACACGCAACGCAAATTTAACACACCTAATTCTGTGCACTTCAAAGGTCCCTTTCGTCTTGTTCCGTTTAGCTCACTTCCTAGTTGGTCCACGCACCAGCACTCATTGCTGGGTCCATGACACTGAACCTCCTCGAAGGACCCATTTAAAGTGCACTGAGGAACGTAAATGTCCTGCTCAGATGAGCTGAGTGCACCTTGATGCATTCGCTGGCAAAGCGTTAGACCGTCACCTATAGAGAGAAAAAAATACAAGGTTACTAACTTCGAGAGTTACATGTTGGAGAAAGCTCATTTTCATTTTCAAAGTCGTCTGAGAAATAATGCGTCCATGGACCCCTGGAAATATTAAAATCTGGAAAAATTCTCACGAGTAAAATATCATGATCCGAACCTGGACAACAGACAATAGTAGTATATTTCAAGTGCCTTCAATACATATGAATATATAAGAATGAGATATGGAGGGGTTTATTCATGTGCATGAAGGACTGACATCGCGTCATGCCGGGGGTGGGAGGGAGGGTTCTCTCACAAACAAGTAATTTCGTAGGAGAAAATGTGCACAAAGGAGGGGAAAATGATGATATGTACAGCGCAGGGGATTGTGGGATATCTATTGTTATTTTAACATTCATTTATTATTTTCGGGACTTAGAATAGAAGCTTGATAGAAGAAGGTCGGTAACAATTCTGTGCCCACAGGCATGGTGAAAACGATTTGCCGGTCTAAGTGCAATTGTGAATTTCAGTTTTGGTATCTATTACCAAACACGTGAAATGTCACCATCTTCTGAAAATTTTGTTTGTTAATTTTTCTGTTGGTAGTATGTTTGTTGCCCTTTGTTTTTGTTTTTGGTTTTTGTATAAAAGTACTCTTGGGTTTTTTACCTGTTTCACCACATCTCGGTTCTCCAAATAACGTATTAATGTTGGTCTCCTTTACTGCCCTGCCATTATCGGGATCGACACAAAAACATATCACGCCTCGGCATTGAACTTCCTCAAAGCTTCCATCGGGCCGACATCTCGGTATTTCCTTGTCTGGTCTCGGATTTCTGGAATGTTCTAGGTACCGACGCTGACAGAGCGTCAAACGAACATCTGTAACCAAGAGAAATAATGGCACACGTGTTGCAGTTCTTATTAGTGAACAGTGTTAAGTACATATATTGGCAGTGTAATCAAATCATCCTGCTTCACGCTGGTAGGGGTACGTGTAAAAAGTATTGTAACCATTTGCCATTGGTCTAAAAGAGGCATTAGGATTTCAGCAGTAGTTCTTATCACCCCCGCGAAATAGGTGTCGCACGTTTGTATTCCTGGTAGCTCGCAATACTACAAATAAGGCGGGGGAAAATCAATGGTTGAAATACAATAAGATAAGAAAAGGAGGAGCACTGTTTGTAGTTTGTTGTTCCCCAATGGCTTCAAAGTGTTCAACCGGGTCATGAGGTCGAATGTCTCGTCTTTCCATTTCCAACAGATGGTGATAAATTTCTTCACAACCTGGGAAGATCTTTCTACCTTTCATGGCCTCTAAAGTCAGTTCGCATACTTACCTAGGACAGGACATTTCAAAGGTCCTCTAGTCTTGGATCCCTCAAGTTCATTACCACTTTTGTCTACACACCAGCAGAAGCCAGTTGATCCACTACACTGCACCTCTTCATAGCTACCGTCCTGATTACAACGAATAAGGTAAGAAGAACCAAATGGTACAGCGCTAGCATTTTGTCGAACCCTCTGACAAGGAGACAAACCACCAACTGCAAAAGGCGAAAGAAAACTTTTATGTAGAAATTAGTAAAACAGTTAACCTCTTGCTATGATCACTGTTTAAATCACTTTCTAATCACTTTTTGCTCTTATTTCAAACATGGAAGGTGACGAGATAAGTAGGCTGTCATTGTAGATTAACCAGGTTTAAACTACGTTATGACTAACAAGCTTTTTCAGGTAATTTATATTGTATTAATTATGGCCACCGAAACACTATCAGATTTTTCAGTTTAGAGAAAACCCTGACGTAATTAATGGTATTAGTTTCAGGTCTCACGTCTGACCTCTCACCAAATAACATGTCCTCCAACAACGTTCACAGCCGCAGAAATAGTCCAGTGCCTGAAGTCTCCCTTCCTCCCCCAATGTACAGAGGCTGAACTCAGATGAGAAAACTCAAGATCGCTGCCATTTTTCTGCCCAAAACGGGGTAAAACCATTTATATTGTGGCACAGTTGGTTACACGTGTACAGGAGTTAAACATGCTCGCACAGACGAAGAATTGAACTAACTGACCATATCGTAAGACGGGGACAGTGGAACAACGTTTAACCAAACGCCTTTAATTTCTGACATATTGCAATGTTGACCATTTTCTTTATTCCCTTTACCTGTCAGTTAGGTAATGTAACAAACTTTGTGAAGATAAATAGCACACTACTCAAGATTGAGACATAAATCGAGAATGGTTACCAGTTGGGAGTGGTAATTTTCCCGTGCAGTCGAGAGCTTGATTTCGATAAACTCTCGTCCCTGGAACTTCTTCTCCTTCCTCATCCATACAGAAACAAACTGATCCATGACACTGAACCTTATCATACCCTCCGTCGGGAAGACATCTTGGTACAAACACGCCAAGACGTTTGTTACGCCTGGCTAAGAACTGTTGGCGTAAACATGCAGTGTTTGCCGACGGATCCACTGGGAAAGAAAAAAAAAACATATAAAACAACGCTTTGAAAGAGATTTCTGAATTGCGAAACGTTGACAACATTGACATTCATTGTAGGGTTTGTCTTATCACTTACCTACGCATCGAAGTTGACATTTTGCCTTGGTGTTAAATCTGTTGGCGTTACCGCTGCACCCGCCATAAATAAACTGTTCACATCGTCCTTTCTTCCAATTGTAAAACCATTGCGGCATGAAGCCTTTACAAGGGCCCTCGATCATTGGCAAAATGCATATGTCACCAGCTGCAAAGTAAGTAAAGAATTACGAGCGGAATTTAACGAGCTGAATATTTTCGCTCTTCATCAATTAGGCGCATTGACGCTAATAAAATGAAACAATTTCAACAATTTAAAACAATTTAACAATTTAAATCAATTTAAAAGCGCTGAACGTTTCAACTTGGGCTTTGAGTTTTCCGATGTAAAATTCCAACCTCGTCGCAATCTCGTTACCGGGAAAGGAAAAACCACTGGGAACGAGGTAGACCTCGTTGCGAGGATCTTTCAGCCGTTTTAAAGCCCAAGATGGCGAAAACACCAAAAAGAGGTCGTATTTCCTTAGTATGCCCGTCACCATGTAAACGCCTGATTACGCCAGATAGATTTGCTAGACGAAGTTGCAAGTGCGAAATACCTGCATAACTGCAAGAAGAGCTACACTCTAATTGAGTCTGGAAATTATTTTTGTTTCCACCACAGCCACCGTATACAAATGGTCTGCAGACACCACCTTCACCATCAAAGTACCAGCGAACGATGTATCTTCTACAGTACCCAGTACTTCGAGGTTGTAGACAATCTGTGCGAGACGTGTTATTTCCAATACTGGGAGAAGATGGTCCTGCGAGTGACGCAAACATTTAAGTTGTACACATTATGTAAACCAAGGTTACAGGAACTAAGACATGATGCAAGGTACTTTATGTTTCTGTCTGTCTGTTTGTTTGTTTGTTTGTTTTTCGTTTTTGAAATTCGTATCCCGCCGGATTTAATGTGCTGTAAAATTTTTGGAAGAATTCAGCGAAGGAAGTTCAAGGAAATGACAAATAAAGCCATAAAAACAGTAGAAAATGCATTTGCTTGGGCATTTATAATCCAAGATTAAAATCCAAGATTTTAATAGAGATGATGGTAAATCAATATATAATCATTGCTTATTACATTTAATAAGTTTGAGAGGACTTGGTGTTAAAACGAATCCAAAAACAACTTTCAAAACATAACACTAGCGCGCGGAACGCGATAAATCATTACCCTATTGAGCCACGTTACATTAAACCAAAGAAAAAAGACTGTTGTGTTTATTTAAATGTTTTAACTCTTACCGTTAATAGTAACATTTATTTCCGCCTCCGCTGTGGAGAATCCGTCATAAGCCTTGCATTTGTACATTCCACTGTCGCGCATATCGACATCCAGAATATCTAGCTTGTCCATACGAGGAATCATTCGATTTGGCAAAGTACGAAGTCCAACCTTTCTCCACGTGATACTCACAGGGTCTCCCTCAAAACGGCACGTGAGTTCACCTTGTTTGTAGGCTGGCAGAATTTGTTTGCTCTTGTGGGCTGTACTGACTTCAATCTTCACTCCATCTTAATGTAATCATTTTAAACAAGGTCAAAACTATCCCTGCTCATGTTCAAGTATTTTGTTATGAAATAATAATCTAATCATTGGCCTACATGCAACAAAAAAGTTAATAAGAACAAATTAATTTCTAACTCGTAAGAGCTCATTGAGAGAGCCTGTTGCAAACGCTTTACCAAAATATGAAGCAAGAGCAAAAACTACACGCGAATGGAATAATCTTTGAGGTAAACAATTTACTATAATTAGCATTCATTCATTGAAATTTATACTTTATATATTAATTAGATTATGTAAAGGTTTCAGATCGATCTAAATGAAGCGAATGTATAAAAAAGCGCCAAAACAAAGTGGGCGCGGTACCCACTGATCTTGGAATGGAATGAAAGCAAGAGAAACAAATTTGTGATTCGAAAAGATACTTCCCACAACTTCCTCTCAAGACCAGCTGTCCTTCTGAAATTTCTTTAGAGCGTGATTGCGTCGGTTTTCTGATCTTCAGGAAAAGTAAGTTTGTGATGTATTTGTGTTTTTCGTATTTTGACCGGCCTACGGGTTTAACCACTGATAATCGGCCTGTGTGAGCTAATCCAGCAGCAGAACTGCAACAATTTAGTGAATAACGATACGTCGATCTACTTACTTGGCTTGCAACCTCCATTGTTATGAATCTTGATATCAGTTATTCCCAAAATACAAGCTGTTCTGTTTAATTCACAAGCGCTGTTGTAGGGAATACCATCAGTCCCGCAAACTTTTTCCTCCGGCTGTGGCGTAGGGCACTTTGACAGGCAGGAGCATCTGGGAGAGTTATATTTGTCCAAAACGCAAACTTCCCCTGGAAACTTGCATACCCTTGGAGAACAAAGCACTGTGCAACAGAAAAAGTATTTGACATTAAAAATACTATAAACAGCTGTGTTTGCACTTTTTAAATCTCAGTCCACCTGCTTCAGATGAAACTTGCCCTTGTTGTTGTCTACAGTATATTACAGGGCCACGTTATAAAAATAACCAAAACAATTTGATCAGACAATAAGCGATGAACATGTGCTTATATCAAGCGAACAGAGCAACCTGGGAACAACCAGAAAATGGACTAGCAAAGCAATTAACATTAAAGAACAAAAAACGGCTATATCTTCCAATCAAACACAAATAGAATAGTTACCGAAGCCAGGAGTACAAGGGTCTTTTATTACTTACTTAAGAGAGAATGATGTACACAATTTACCTCTTCGACATTCGTCCCTGGACATAAGAAGTTCCGGATTAGGGTTGCACGTGTTATAGTGGTAACAGCATCTAAAATAACAGAACAAACACAAATAGCTACGAAACGAAGTTTGCTTTTCAGAAATGGTTACGATTAGATTTGGAAAGCATTTTTCGTCGTCAATTTGGTATGAAATAATGCACAGCAACTGGTCATTACAAAATCTTAAAATAACGTCATAGAGACAAAACAACAACTTTGGGGAATCTCAAGCTTGTGAAACATACAGCACGTTATGCCTATGGAGCTAACGGTAAATGTAACTTTAATGGCTTATCTACGGAGTGCATGGGGGAAGGGTGATTATTATCAGAGGGTGTCGTGTAATGAAGCTCCCCCTCTCCTCAATTATAGTTTTGCGATGGTGACTCAATTCGCCATTTCTTAGATGAGGTTAAACTAGATCACCTACAGTCTCGTTAGTCAAACAAATTATATAACTCGTCTGAGGAATGCAACAATAGCGAAAACTACCTTTTGCAGTTGCTTTTAAAGCAAAATCTAGTTCTTCCAGGAAGACAATTTGAACTATCTTTATTCAATGCGACTTCGTCTATTGGGCACGCATCTGAAACAAATGCAACAACTACTTTGTAATTAACGTCGAGTACGACAAGAATAAGATCAAGAAAACAAGCAACTTATACAAATATAGAGACACTATGACTCTTGACTTGTGAAAAATCTTCGCCTAATTATCAAATCAGAAGAAGTGCGAACACTCTACAATACAGCAAGCGTCCTCATGGACATGCTATCATGGTTCGATGAGTTGCTACACAATATCGAGACGAAAACTGCAGACACAGTCCGATCTCGGAGATTGGCTTCGTCCATCAACTCGCACTTGCTCACCGATTTGATACTCGTAGATATAGCAATAACATCTGTAGCAAAAAGTTAAGGAAGCCGGAAACAAACTTCAACCATGATCGCATCGAACTTATATTTGTTTTGCAGTCTGTGGATCAAATGCAATGTATCAATGGAACAAACTGACCTTTTTCAAAGGTTCAAGTTGATTCTAAATAATTAGGTGCAAGAGAAAATGAAGCACAAGAGAAATTTCCCTTCTATAGGCCCTACTCTCAAGGTAATGCCTCCAAAATGTACTATAGTTTTTAAATCAGTCCCAGTTTTGGAAATCCCAGGAAGGCCTACACACAGCCAATCCTGTGAAGCAAATTTGCTCAGTTTGACAACCCAAGAGGGTTTGCACGTATTTCCATCCTCCACGAAAACATCCACGGAACCAAGTCAGTGTTAACATTATCCGCGGAATACCTCAAATACAATGACTAAACAATAACGTAAGGGGGATTAACTTGGAAATAAGGCCTATTTGGTGGATTGGCTCTACTACCGTTAATCCTCTCTTTTTTACGAATTAACTCTTAACAATTTCGCACAACAGGGTAATCTCTTACAATCTAATTTCTTTGGCCTGAAAACTTACCTTCGCCGGGTCCTACTGCCAAAATGGGTTCGTAGCAGGTGCGTGTCTCACATGTGCTCCTGCAGCATTTCTGAGTACCGGAACAGTCGCCATCCCAATTGCATTGTTCAAGCGAAGAACAGTTCCTGATGACGCTCCAAGAGGGGCACCGGCCTTCCTTCACAGCTTGTCTTCTGTAGCGACGGGCAGTCCTCAGCCTGTTACCTACGATAAAATTAAAATCTTTAACGGGCTCCACATTATTAGCAGATAGGCTATGTACTTAACTTCAACCCTTCCCTTCTACCCCACCCCCACCTCCACTCCCCTCCGAATCGTTCAACCCTTTGATTTCGAACATACAGGCCCATCAGGCCAGCGCGTGCCTTTCCTTAGCACGGTGGTACTAGGAGTATTTTCACTCGTCTATTATGTGATGCTACTCAATCGCAGGTTTACCCCTAGCACTTATTTAGACACCAGCGCGGACCAAGGCACTGTAAGAGTGAAGTGACTTTTAAGGGCATTAAAATGCACAAGAGCACAGCTCTATGACTCCGGCTAACGTTCCACGCTGTCCGCTTAAATCGACGCTGCAATCAACAATACAGTCTCCCAACAGAATGTCCTCAACAACGAAAGTAACCCTCCTTACAGTGACACAAGCGGTGTTCCACTGTTAAGATGGATCTGGGAATCTGGGTTCGATCGCGTCATATTTTGTTGTTTCTATGGCAAGACACATTATTATTATTACTATTATTATTATTATTATTGTCATTATTATTATTATTGTTGTTGTTGTTGTTGTTGTTGTTGTTGTTGTTGTTATTGTTATTGTTATTGTTATTACTTTTAACTTAACAGTATAAATGGGTATCGAAAGCCGCTGGGGTAAACTTGCAAAATGCTCTAAGGTAACATGAAAGACGAATTAAAGCGCATCTAATTACTACATGCTACAGAAACCAGGATGGGTACACCCACGCGCTTCACAATTCAAACGCGTTACTAGGTCATGTCTATACATTAAAAACCCGTCCATCCATAACCCACAAACTATGAGCGACAAACTGAAAGACAACCGGCTCAGATCAAATACAGTGTATACTACTCAAGCTTAATTGAAATTTCAATTATCTTCCAGTGAGATTTTTCAGGTAGTAAAAAAAAAGACTTCAACTGGTATAATTTTCCGAGGTGACAAGAAAAATCCGGCAGTCTACATCTGATAGGCCGATAAACTTTCATTACTATTTCCACTACAATCACTTTGCCAGAGTTGATAACTGAGTCACATTTTCTATGCTTGCAAGTGAACGTGGCGGCTGAGTTGAATGAAATTTCCGTTTAATACAAAGACATCGAAGCTTGGGAATTTAAAAAAACGAGCTACACCAGCCTTGGACCAAAATAATCCAGAAAATTAAAACTCGTACACAATGGTTTCGCGTTGTTTCACAAACAGAATATTTCTGCGCATTTTGCATCGGTTAACAAATTCATTCGATTTTGATGTAAGTACAGTACTGTAAAATCTATGCAGGAGAGCACTTTTTGTTGTTTTCCAAATTTTTCTATGTTTTAGCTCGATATTCTCCAGTCCTTGTTATTCAACTCTGAAAATTATACTAAAACAAGAGGCTAAGATCTACATAGATCATCGTCTCTTGACTAAAACCATCACTCAGCACTTCGCTGCAGGCCCGGGGCAACTCGACGAAAATCGTCCCACGACTTCGTGTCGAGAATATTCGTCAGGATTCGCTGAGCCTAAGGAGACTTTCCGAGATAATGGTAATCTTACACACATTTGTATGACGCATTCAGATATCTCATATATATGTCTAATTCTTAAGATATCAGTGAAGAAAAACGGTTTTGTATGACGCTTTCAGACTCCTTTTCGAATATGACACTTCCAAATGTCACAAGACAACAGCCCGGGTGATGGCCGAGCTGCGACGGCTGACCACTGAACATTAAGTACTACTTGATCCTTGCCATGTATGAAACTCGATAGACATTTGTGTGTATTGACAACTTTTCTCTAGCTTCTTAACATAAGGTGGGAACGTCGAAAGATACGACTCTCCGAAAGAAGCGACCAAACGGAATCTGGCATTACGACAACCTCGATAGCAAAAAATCCGATATTTGTTTTAGATGGCCTTCATTGCAAAAGTGTACAATACTCGGCTGTTTGATGCAAAATATCCTCTCTCAAACGATTTATTTCTATTTTTCTCTCTATATTGATGTTTCTATCGACCATCAAATGGTACACGTTTAAGCTTTCAGAAATACGTGTAGCGACCAACCAAAAGTGGCAACCCTTAAAAAGAATCAACAGAAAGAGGTCGCTAACTCGGAAAGCAAGGAAGGTCGCTACTTTCGGATGTTAAAGTGACCTGTTCCCAATCAGAATACCATCTCGAGTGCTAACGTCATATGAGTAGAGATAAAAAAAACCAAAGAACATTCCTGAGATAATCATCAATGGAACATGAGTACTTTTGGGAAATGCGCTCTTCTCGAACGTTTTCAAAAATATATTGAATCTCTCTATCCGATGGATAGCACAGGGTATAGTTACTTTTCACTGAAAGCCATCCAAGTAAAACGAACCGTGGGTGAATGAAAACTTCGTCTAGATAGTAGTCGAATGTAAGTAAATGATGGACCGCGCTCAAACAATTAAATTTATCATCAAACAGGAAGTCATTACGGTCCAGTGTAAGTTACATGATGATGAATCTCATGAAACACATCTTTCACTAAAACATTTTAGCTCCCTTGACATCTAGTTTTGAGCAAGAATTTGCTAAACGTGCGGTCACGATTTTCCGCACTCCACAGTATCGTCACTCCGCGAGCTTCACCCTTGGTAAACCATAATCAAAACCTTCAGCATTCACGTTTTAAAGATTTCAAGTTTTGAAACGTTAATGAAATACTTTATGAGTCCCATTCATGTAACTAAGAGTGTAACTACTTGACGAATACCAGCCAGATGTAGCATTTAACCAGCCGCCGAGCCGGTGATTAGTAAGCCACTCCAAAAATTCAAGAGAGAAAATATCGAAGAAACTGAGAAACAAACGAAGAATGTAAAGTAGGGTGTGTTTCTTTAAAAGATTAAAGATTCGAATCTTCATCCCAGACCGAAAGGATTATTATTAGCACGCCTAAATTAAAACGACCCAAAAATCTCAAAAATTAAAAAAGTGTCTTTTACACCCAGAAATAGTTCGCCCCGAAGATTTGAACATGGAGGGTGAGGTCAGCTGTCCTAGAAAACATGGATGCCGTCCACAGTGACGGACGCGGTTTATAACTAAACACTGAAATTACATGATCATTTACAAAGGATTATTTTTGTATCTATGTGAATCAAGCAAATGCACAAACTCCGTCCCCGAAAGCTCACCATATTAATCGTGGTTAAAAATTGCAGCCTCGTACTTTTGCAACTATTTCCCGATTTTAGCTTGTTCTTGACTATTAATCTGGAGTGGGTTTCATTAACGAAAGGCAAAATCCACATTTGGTCTTTCCTTGAGCAGAACGTATAACTGTGGAAGCGACAATTACGGTCAGTTTTTTCTTTACTTTGCTATTCCCCAAAAAGCAACAGCAAAAAATCTCTACAGCTTTTCAATTCAGAAAGTGTTGGTTGTTCCGTCTGAAAAGTTCTTAGTTACAATTCGTGCGATTGCACACCCCAGGAGAGATTGTTTGCTGATTTTTTTCTTTTTTTCTTTTTTTTTTTTTTCCACTCATTCTTCACCTTTTCCGTCTTGTGCTACATTTTTCTCCACAACTACATCAGGGGCGGATCCAGAGGGAGGCCGGGTGCAGGCACTGCGCACCCCGCCCCCCAAGATGAAGCCTTCTTCTTCGTATACGCTTTAAAATTTTACCTCACCAGTTAGTTACGCCATTCCTAATTGGTGCACACCGTCCTAAGAAAAATCCAGGATCCGCCTCTGTACATCCAATAAAACCGAGTATATCGAGACATCTATTCAACCCGAATAAAACGTCAAAAGCAGTAGATTTTTTCAATTGTCCCTCCCTTTGCTTGAAAAGTCAAGTGACATTAATTTAATACGTATAGGGTCAGAAAAGATTAATGACTTATTTGATTATGAAACACGAATAGCTTCATACTTTACAGACAGACCAAATAGGGTAACACGAAATGAGAATTGAACAGTCTCTCAACAGACAGCCTTTAAAGTCCCATCATGAGAGGAGCAACAAAGCAACAAAGCAATACCTTCTGATGTGCGTGAGGAAATAAAAAGAAGTACGAAAAATGATTGCCGAGATAAAAGAGACCACTTGGTCAATAAGTCCCGTGTAGGTTGTACAATGGCAAGTAGAAGCATGCTTCTAAAGCCTTCAATTTTCACCAACGTTCATATGAATGAGCGCAAAGCCATTAAAAGGTCACATCAGAAAGAAAACAAATACCACATAAACTTTTTTCTTCGGTTCCCCTGATATCTTGGTAGATATCTTGGTAGATATCTTGTTTATTTGTAAAACGTTCCATTCTCGACCCTCTTAGCCCCAATGTCGAATACAGATTATTGTGCATTTATTTTGACACCTTTACATTCTAAGAATTTAATACAAACATGTCGCTTTGTTGGAGGGTTTTTTTTTTTTATTTTGACATTTTGATTATCTGACTCCTTAACAATATAAGGGCAAAGGAAATGTTGTTTGTTTTGGACTTGGTTGAAACCTTTTGGAAATAGTTACTCTTCATATTCACCCAAGGGCAAAATGATTGGTGAAATACATCGATCAATGACCATCTTTAAATCTATTGTAGGCTTAAGGCTCGGTTATAACTTTGTGGAGATCCAAGCCAGAAATATCCGTTAGATGGGCACATTTCATTCAGCGATTATTGAATTTTCTACGAAAGTTAATAACCTCGGAACGTGACTAGACCGCACACTTTTTTCACTAGAGAAAATAAACAAACAGTGGCATAATCATCTCCATAGAAATCCTGTTTTCATTAAAATTAATGTCAGCCTAATGAAAGTTATCGTATGACTCAAATTCTTACAATTAGGTAACAAGGAGTTGACGCCAACTCACAGGTCGAAGGTTCTAGGGCTCTTCTAAGAATAATCTAATCAATTCGAGGTCGAAAACAATCACCGACAATCAATCGCAGTCGTTTCATATTAAAACTACGATTGGAGTGAGAGGGGTACTGAACACCGCGGACACTATTAAACAGAAGACACAGATCTTTAGTACATACTAGTAAAGACTTACCGAGAACCTGGATGATTTTAATTCACGTTAATCGGTTAATTGTAAAAGAGATGAGCCCCAAAAATGTCTTCTCTAGGTCGCTATAGAAAGCCTAGAATGTACCATGATTCTTCCATGACAGTCGTTGGTGGTCAGTTTTAAAGTTCTTGACCTTTTTTCTTTTTTCTTGATTTCATCAAAGAAAAGGACTTTTTACCACTAACCAGAGTACACCCGTGAAACCGTAGAAACTTTTGTTCAACAGTGATACGTCAATAGTTAGCAAAATGGTTCCCGTTGGTGCTGCGGGGGTTAAAATAACTGATCAGGGTATACAGTATTGTCTGTACTTGGGTTGTCTTTTGCGTCTAGCTTATTTTCAAGTTATGCAATGTGTAAGAATAGAACCGTCGCTGGACACCAGACAAAACATTGAAAATATCTTTAAGATAGACATAACTAGACTGGGATTAATTAAACTGGATACATCTTTGATGTAAGAAACAAATTCGGGCTTGCGTGATACGAGGAAAACTCACTGTGATTTCGACGGTTCGGCTAAAACAGACCTTTATAGCTTTAACAACGAAAAAATATGACCGTTCGGACTGAAAAGCCGGTGTAGTAATTTGGACCGGCTTTCTACCAAAGGTTCAAGAATGTGATTACTGTTTTATGGTATATAAGAGTATAAGTATCTCAATGAGAAAAACATAATAAGCTAAGGAGATTATACTTTCAGCCGCTAAACAACAATCCACCGGGCAGCCAGTAAACAGTGTCATGTCTTATTCCCAAGTCTGATGTACTTGTCTTATTTCTTGTTTTCTGATATATTTTCGGTTTTTCCATACTCCATAATCTTGTACTTTCTAGGAGCTTGCTACACGTTTCTGCCATTGCTATCAAATCATGAATGGCCGATTATTCTTCGTGTATAAAAATTCACGTCCCAAGAACTGTTTCTCTCCTGCCGTTCGGAAAATTATTTAAACAACTGCTTATCCTCACCAAACGAAGATCACATTAAATCCATGGTACTTACCTACAGAGAGGTCATAGTAGAACGCTAATAACGACAAAAAAGCGAAACTTTTAAGAGAAAATAACTGGCACATCATAGTCGTCCGTTTAGACTCCACCGTGTTTATGCGCTTGGCGAGACCTCGACCGCAAGATGTATTATTTTACAGTATCCGGCCGTAATGAGATTGCTGGCGTTACCAGTTCATGTCACGACATCAGTTAGAATCTCGGGAAATGATTAATTCATCGATAATGGGGAAAACAAGAGGACATCGAAGAGCAAAAAGGGTACCACAGCCATTTCGTGCTTCCCAGTTGGCACGATAGCTCAGTAAAGCAGTCAGAACCGTATGGTTATCGGAGAAGTCATGGTTCGAATCACTTTTAAGCTTGAATTTTTGAATTTTTCAAGCTAATAATTTCGTAATATACTCGTAAATGTAGAAATATGAAATATTCATATATTAAAACTGCCAGATATTAAAGTTGAGTATAGATGAGACCTCTGAAAACCATCTCGGTCGAGAAGACTGGAATCAAGTTAGGACTATTGTCGTAAAAAAGGTTACAGTGTTTGCTCATCGTGGTCCGTACAATAGCCGTACAATAGAAAGAATTACAATAGAAAACCTTAATCGGAGGTGTATAGGTAGCCGGTTAACTACAATAGACTTGAACACGTTCGCTGGCTCAGCACTGGTATTCGATTTTCTGCGAGGAAGAAAAAGGCTAAAGATTAGAAACAAGGACAGATTGCACATGTTTTCTTTTCTCACGGACGTGCCATCAATTTAGCGCTGACATCAGTCCTAAGTCGTTCTAGAGAGATGTTCTGGTGGACGTTACATATTGCTACCCCCAAGATAAAGTATCACGTTCGCTTTTCAGTCGAAGGCGCTTCTCTTGGCCGAGGGAAAGAAAATAAATGTCTCGCTTGTATGAAACAGTTTTTTGTCACTTCCCTTAGTATAGATCGTTTTCACTGTCACGCAATAAAAAAATAAATCGAGAACCATCCTTTGGAAAAAGCTATGAAATTATGATGTTATAGAAGATAACTAAATAAGAAACCTCTCCAAGTTTTAGGCCTGTGCGTTTCGCCAAACTTCAGATATTCGTCGAAATGTTTCGCAGATATTTACAGAGCCCAGTATGAAAACGCCATGTTGGCGGCCGGAAAATAGTGTATACATCTGGAACTTCCTTTGGCTATCTAGGCGACTGATTATCAGTACTGATCAAACAAGCACTTACATAAGCACTTTTCCTAATGCTGTAACTTCTAAAAAGGCTCAAAATCACGAGATAAGTATATATTTTTCGACGAACTCGATCGTAGTCTTGTGTCACGCACCTCCATAACCCTGAAATTCAAAATGCTTTGGATTCCAAACGAAGCACGTTATTGAGCTGTAAAATTGTAAACAGATATAAATATACTGCCTCTTATGCCTGACGAGGATAAAAACTTTGGTGGCTCTTTAGTTTTGGATTTTAGAAAGTGATGACGTCACGTGAAAACGATTTTTTGTGTCAGACAAACTTTTTTTTTTCGCGTTCTTTCCCGTAGTTTTATCATATTAATTTTACTCACAACATATGCACAACGCAAGCGATACTTCGTTGCCAAATGTTCAAACCTTCGAACGAATTTTCTAAAACTTGAAGATGAATTTTCAAGATCTGTAGTTAATTCTCGAATGAAATTTTGCAGGGTACTCAATATACATATTATATTATTATGATTAAACTACTCTTATCATTATAGTGTAATATGAAGATTTTACTTTGACAAAAAATAAAGTATCTATGTATAAAAGGTATCATGAACTTTCGTCATAACAATTTTACGAAGCCAAGCAAAATTTCGTATTAATATAAGCAATGGGCCTCCGAGTTTTTGGATTTTTTTCCATTTACCTCAAAAAGCCCCGAAATTCGAGAATTTCTTCGAAGTTGATTTCCAACTTTTGCATAGCGCTGTACGACCACTTGTAAGTTTTTAATTAACAATTAGATCCTGAACTCGAGATTGTGATAGTTGATGAGGCCGAAGGCCGAATCGCCTATCACCTCATAGCAATCAAGAGCGAATAATCTAATTGTTTTAGTAGAAATCTAACTAAAATATACCTCAAATAATGGCGGGTTTCCAATTATTTATCGACGTATAATTAATCAAATTTCGCGTCTTTGAAACTGATCGCTCGGATAGAATTATCATTAAAAATCTCAGTTGTATGCTCGCGTGCATCATTTTTCCTATAACTGCAGGTGTTTTAAAGCTAGTCAGGAAACCACAAGTGTCCTATTTCTAATTTATCGATTTGAATCAAAATGTTCCTCGAAAACTTTGGAAAAACGAAAAAGTGACCCCATTTCCGTATAGACGACTTCACACTAATGAATGAGTTGCCAGAGATCGGATACCCGTGTTTGCGCGAAGAACTCTGGGATCGTCAGGGGGCAAACATTGCTAGTCGCTAGAAGGAAATGTATGGCGAAAAGTTGTTTCGAGGTACAAGAAAGCGAGTTTTGAGAGAGATCAACGCTTTTTCGTCGTCGTTTTTATCGCGAATGGATTTGGGCAATGTTGATATGTGGAATGTGTAAGTTTTTGTTTGAATAACAGGTCCTACTTAGCTTTCAAGGAGAAAACAGTGACACTTCATGATCTAACTACTTTCTCCTTGAAAAAATATAAAAAGTGCTAATTTATTCCATATAGAATTGCAAGATCAACAGGGAACCGGCCACCTACATGTACATTTGTTAGAGCTGACAGCGGATTTTAACGAGGCCTTCGGAGTCAAATTAAAGAAATATGGGCTACTAGTTCCTGGCTGCTTCTTTTGCAAGGATGGTTCCGTAATTCTTTTATTACATAGATTCGTGTATAAAGTTACATGCAACCTTATATTTTGCATCTCGTGTACGGATCATGTACAACCATATATTGTCAATGACGGGCTGTATTAGTTCAGATGACCTGCACCTCTTTAAAACTTCTATTTTGATTCGTTCTTGTTTATCTGCACCTCTTTTGTTTTTAGGGCTAGGGGCATCGTTTGTGTTTTATACCTATTGTTTCATTTGGCCAATCATGAAGGCCCTTGTAAACGATGCGTGGTCGCCCTATTAGTTTATCGTCACATACAACACATGTGATGCCAACGACACAGCACTTGTCTATGATTCACAAGCGCGTATCTTGAGCATTATCAGGACTGTTTGTATCACAAGTGGATGGTACACGATCATTTCTTGCATGATTTGCGTCCTTCCCTGCTGTCAGATACCTCCGCATGTCGGTATGTTTCATTCTGTACAACTCTAGAGCCTTTCCACTTAGAGCAAATGACAAGAAAATAAACAAGCCTGTGTAGAGAAGAAATGAGTCATTATTAAACTGATACCATTGATAAATAACCCAACTCCGATAGTGGCTAGCGGGATCCAGCAAACAAGGGTGATGCAATACCTAGTGGTGATCACGTTCTTCTGATTTATCTTGCTTACGTCATAACCATAAAAAGTAGAGGAAGGACACGGCAATGTCCAATTCCCTCTATGAGATGCGCCTGCAAGGAATCATGGTAGTGGTAACTGTGGTATACATCGAAGCAAAAATCCAGTTCAAGATGATGAATATGACTACCATGATTCTCTGCGGGCACATCTCATTCAGGAAATTGGCCATTGTTTAATAGCCATATCACGGCGCTTGCAGCCAAACGCGCGGCTGCAACGGCAGAACACAATTTCCCCTCAAGATACAGGAGCCAGGCCCCCGACCAGCTTACCCTCAACGGTAATGACACACGAAAAAAAATGGAGAATACATCTATTATTCTTTACTTTTTTAGGTTATAAGCATAACTAAAATCACAAATATAACGGGGAGATGTACCTTGAAGGCTGTTTAGAACCACATACGGGTACCATAAGAATGACAAAACTTTCAAGTTTGCAGCAATCCCGAGAATCCATGTGACTCCCATCACTGAAGCCATTTTAACACAAATCAGAGGTACGCTGGTACCGTGATGTTGATTGGTTACTTCCTGCGTTCTCTAAGGAAACAGAAAAGTAATAACTTGTGAGAGCCTGATACAGTGATTCAAGAAAACTACGGTAAGAATTTCTTTTTAAACATACAGCTCTATAATACACTGTTTTTTCCTCACCTTTCGTGTTTTAACGATATGAATCGCAGTGTGTCCTAAAGCAAACAGATTGAAGATCATCACCAGCGCAACAGGCAAAACAAATGAATAAAGAATAGCTTGAGGCTGTGATATGAAACATTCTTCCTCTCCCTGACCTGTTTATTTCAACCAAACCATAATCATATGATTAGAACGTGTTCATTTTGGCATTTTGGTTAATAGCTGATACATGGTCATTGCGATGAACCATAACAACATCGATGAACAATTGTCAACGGAAGTGAATGTTTAATGTGCCATTTTATTTTTTCATCCATATTACTATGTTTCCATCAAAATTCGCTTTTGTCTTGTTTGTTAATTATAATGTTTAAAGATCGAATCAAACTGGTTAATCGTATAATCGTGTAGTCGGAAAACGTATACTTACCATAGCCAACAGATCCCTTTCTGATATGATCCAATAAAACACAGAGCAGGACGACTATGATGGGAGACCCCCAGGCATACAGACCATACCTCATGAGACGTTTGTTCAAGTTTTCATACCGATTTGCCACACCTGTTTAAAATTATCAAGAAACGTAATCAGTCGAAAGCCATGGCAAGATAGATAGTAGACACAAAGACCGAGAGACTCATCCAGAGGCAGGCAGACCGACAGACAGAGGGACAGACAAACGGAAACTAGCAGGAAGACAAACAGACAGACAGATAGACGAAAGAAGACTGTTCTTTAAAGTAATAGGTTGTTATATATATAAGCAAGCCATCCAATGTGTCATTCAGTTGTGACAAATATAATATCTATACTTCGTCACGTGTACTTCGTTAGGGGTGAATGAAGTGACTACTGCTTGGTCAACTTACCTGAAGTAGTAAATATCCGATGGACGTCATAAGCCATAACATTCATCCACGCGAAGGAGGACAGAGCAAAGAAATGAAGAAGAGCTGCAACCGCCAAGCACAACTCTTGGCTGTCATTTTTAATCGCTGAAAAGAAGACACTTTGGTACAGCAACAGAGAGAATGTCAGGTTGATAATGATCTTCCCAGGTAAGTTGCGGAGTTCAGCAAATACAAGATAAGTAATCAGCAGAAGAACAAGAGAAACCACCGACACTATGCAGCCGATTGAGGTGAGAAGTTGGAGAGATGCTAGTGTTTTAATGATTTTGCATTTGTCGATTTCTTTTTCTGATCCAGATCTTGTTGGGTTTCTTGAGAAATTCACGCAAAGCAGTAATATCTTGTCACGTATCAAGTAAGTCATATTGCTGTACATCTTCTTATGAAGTTTCAAGTAGACAGATCCGTTAGATAGCTTCACATAATCCTTGTTATTGAATGCTGTGAAAGTACAGTTTGGATGCAATCCTGTGCTGTTTCCTCGGTTCTCCTCGGTTTTGTTGTCCTTCCCATGACCTGCAGTTTGTGATTCAGTCGAGACAATCTTTTTGCAGGTCCCCATATAAGGATCATACACCTCGTCAAGGGAACAGGACAACTCTTTTTTCGTTGTCTTTACCACATTCTTTTGCCTATCTTCTACTACAACACTGTACTTAGATGTGGAACTGAAATCAAAGAGGATAGTGAGGGGAGGCGATCCCCCACCACTAGCAGATTGGCATTCAGTTTCCAGATCATTTGGCTTAAAACCGTTGCACAGAGCACACTGTGGGTTTCGAAATCGTCTCTTTTCGCGATCCAAACAGACTGGGAAAGCGTACCTCAAACAATCTGTTTGGCAGTAAGACTCGTTTTTAACGTGACTGATGTTGTGGCAATCTTGGAACCGAGGAATGCATCGTCTTAAATAGTTAAGTTGATATTGTTTAGGTGTTTTATCAACTGAGCAGTTTTGATGGAAAAGTACCATGCCACTGCTTAAATCGAATTCTGTCGCATTAAACCAAGTTTCGCAATCGAATTGTAACTTCCAATACGTTGTATTTACGGCGCCATTGCATCTAGCACAAAACACATTTTTATACGTCACCAGACTGTCTTCGTCGAACACCGGTAAATTCCTCAAAAAGTTACTGTAATCCTCATCCTGGCATTTTTGGCGCACGTTTTTTTCCGTCCAGTTTTGTGGGCACTTGTTCCGAACTGCGTAGCCAGTGTATTTTGCTTGGATTGGGCGGGTTTTGAGTGCTAAGCAGGTTTCATTCACACTCAGAGGGCTGGTCTGAGGATTAACATATTTTCTGCATCTGTAAAATGAAAACAAGAAATTAAACTTGTGGGGACCATTTTTTTTTACACTTCTCAGCTCCTTGCGTAACATAAGTCCGACACCATCGCTTTCCGTCTGATCCTGGACATGGCTGCATTCTTAGCAGCAGCTCAAGTTGTTTTACGTGTAGCTAAGTGTAAATGAAAGACACTACCCATCTAAGTGGAAATGATTTTTAATGAGAATTTTGTCGCACATGGAGGTGGAAACTTTTGTCACAATTCATCAATAACACTAATTACCGTACAGAGTGAAAACAACAAGATTTACTTGTGTAAAATTGCCCTCTTTTTGTTACATTTGTGTTTCTTTCTATTTTCCCCCAAATGTGCCTGGATCTTCAACATCATACAATATTGAGGCTACTGTTGACAATTGATAGCTGACAAGGAGCTCGAGCTTATCGCTCTAGTTAAAATCTAAAAGCTAAAACAGAGTACAGACTCAAAGTTTTATTTAAAAAAATTGACAACGATCTAAGGTACTTTCGTATTTAGATTCTGATTTTGGCAAGTCACAATTGAAACATTCCATACTGCGCTAAATCGTTTCACTCTTATATCAATCTTGTTTGACTCAAGTTCAACCAATCGAAGGATAAAATATATACCACAAATTAAAACTTACAATGAATCGAAGTCAAAACAACAGTCACCGAACTCGTCACAGAGTTTGTCGCAATGGCATCTGGGTAAATGACTGTCCGGAAGTGGGGTAACTGAGACGTTTCTTTGTTGCGCTCCACACCGATTGACGCAAGTGTACTTATGGAAGTCATCATAGCTCCGGAAACAGCGATATAGGAAAAGGCGGACTTCTTCATCCCACCTGGGTCCAAGAAAGCCTGAAAAGGAACAAAAAAATCAGTGTTAACTAGACTGCGTAGCCTCATTCGAGCTGCACAATGCTTAAAACTGCAATTCAGGAACACGAATTCTTATTTTATTATTATTACGTACTGTAAGCCTCCGTGACTTAAATGCAACATTATAATAAGTTCCGTCCGTCTTATATTGTTAATTTCCAATCCTATGCTGAAAAGCATACTTCATATTATAGTTCTGAATTTTTAATAATGTTTCCCACATAAAAATGCATTAGCCTCCATACCGTCGGCCGGGACAACATCTGTACTGCATCTATGACTTAACGAACTCAGGAAAAACGAGTCAGGAGAAGGCCCAGTGGGGGAAGGAGCTGTTGTTGATGTAGTAGAACCACCAACGGCGGATGATGTTTTACCATCTACATCGTCAGAAGTAGTAGGTGGTAACGATGCACCATGGCCAGGTATTGGAGATGGAGGGGACGGTTGAGATGGTGGGGATGGAGAGGTCGGTTGAGATGGTGGAGACGGCGGATGCCCATCAGAAGGCGATGAAGGAGGAGATGGGGGATGACCGCCAGTTGACAATGGGGATGGTGGTCCTGGAAGTATTCCAAGAGGTCCTGGAGGACTGTCAAGAGGTAGAGATGGAGACAGCGTCGTCGGATGCTGGTAATCTGATAAAAAAGACAGGGAATAGCGATGGAATCAGGACTGTCAGAAGAAATTAAATTATACGTTTGACAGATGAAAACAAAAATGAAACAGGTGGCTGAACAGTACTAAGCAAAGACTAGTAAACATTACAGCAGGGAGACATGTAAATCCTCTAGTAAAAGGTCGTAAAAATGTCTTCCAAAAGGAAACTTATTAAAGCCAAAAGACAGGCCTAGACACTAAAAGGTAAACTAAATTAGGCACAGTAATGAATGAGTTGCCGGTAATCGGATACCCGTGTTTGCGCGAAGAACTCTGGGATCGTCAGGGGGCAAACATTGCTAGTCGCTGGAAGGAAATGTATGGCGAAAAGTTGCTTCGAGGGAAAAGAAAACGATTTTTGAGAGAGATCAACGCTTTTTCGCCGTCGTTTTTATCGCGAATGGATTTGGACAATGTTGATATGTGGAATATGTAAGTTTTTGTTTGAATAACCGTGAAATATGTGATAAAACCTACCGATAAAATCCGTTGCTTGCGTGAGGTTTAATTGTGAAATTTGCATCGCGTAATGGTCTGAAAATATTACAAAATTAATTAGGTATAAATCGAGAGGAAATAACCCAGTAGAGCCTTTTAAGTTGTGTACAGGCTGCTTTTGGCTTATTTGAAAGCTCAGTCATACAAATAATACTGGAAATAAGCCCGGTCGTGATCATTGTACTGTCTGGGGTTGATTTAATGACAAATGAGTCCGCGCGGCTCATGCTGTGTGGCTGCTGTGTTGCTCAAAGCCTTTGTTTTGCTTTTACAAGCACGTATTTCAGTGATTTTCCTTTTCTATAACAGATCAAGGGTGGCTCCTTGAATATATCTCTGAGTATTTGTGTTTAAAAGTGCCATTTGTGCGTGATTATGCTTTCCAAAGTTTGGTATTGACGGTTGAGCGAAATTGCCCGACACAAAGGGTAGTAGTTCCTTCTGCAATTTTCGATTTCTGTTTTACAGCTTCTTTTCTGTCTTTATATTTAACTTCTCGGAATGTCTTTTCTACCATTTGCTCCGGGTNTTTACAAGCACGTATTTCAGTGATTTTTCTTTTCTATAACAGATCAAGGGTGGCTCCTTGAATATATCTCTGAGTACTTGTATTTAAAAGTGTCATTTTGCGTGTGATTATGCTTTCCAAAGTTTGGCATTGACGGTTGAGTGAAATTGCCCGACACAAAGGGTAGTAGTTCCTTCTGCAATTTTCGATTTCTGTTTTACAGCTTCTTTTCTGTCTTTATATTTAACTTCTCGGAGTGTCTTTTCTACCATTTGCTCCGGGTAGCCTCTCGAGATCAGGCGTGTATTGAAATTTTCAATATTCTCTTCAATCATCAATGTATTTTACAATAAACCTCACGTAAGCAAAAGGGAGTTAATCGGTAAATTTTGTAACTTATTTCACGGTTATTCAAACGAAAACTTAAATTTTCCATGTATCAACATTGCCAAAATCCACTTGCGATAAAACAACGGCGAAAAAGCGTTGATCTCTCCCCAAAACCATGTTTTTGGGCGTCGTAACAACTTTTCGCCATACATTTCCTTCCACCGACTTGCAATGTTTGCCCCCTGACGATCCCAGAGTTCTTTGCGCAAACACGGGTATCCGATTACTGACAACTCATTCATTAAACACTGCACACTGATTAAACAGTAGAGTGTTTCTGTCGTGGAACTAACAAACAAATATTTGCCCGAGAAGCAAACTTCGAGGGCAAATATACTAGTTTTGAGAACATCAAATTTCCAAGGTATCCAATTGCAGGTGTCCAGTTACAGAAAGGTGTAATTCGACACCCACGTGAATACAAATAGCGGCGCACAAAACTAATCACAATCGAGAATGCTGTTATCGATACGATAATAATCATTATAATGATCCATTAAATATTTTCGCTCGCGCACGATTGGTCTAAACGCGTCACGTGACTGAATATTCCCTATCTAAAACTGGGAACTATTCTATAACATTCCCCAATTTTCAAGACTGCGCGCGTTGCGGAAAATATTTGAAGGATAAGAAACACAATAGCCTACATTTGACTTTGAAAATATGCTCGGATATTTGTCCTTGGACATTATCTGTTCCTCAAAGCTGACAGGTTTCCTCGAGCTACGCTCTCGGAATACTGTTCGCTTCTCGGAACAGATAAAGTCCGCGGACAAATATCCGAGCATATTTTCGCGCCAAATGGAGGCTATTGTTTATCTATTAGAAACTGGATCAAAGGATAATGCAATTCAAGAGTTTTTTATTGGCTTAGCCATCATGGTATATGAACCATTTTATCGTGCTCTACAAATATGGTATGCGCACGCGTAATATTTGGGGGCGTTATCAGAACATTTATTTTCATTTTATTTTAGTTTTCTATATGTTGGGGGCATTTTTAATTATACAGTTATTCCACTTTGCTTTTGTTGGATGTGAGATAATTATGGGCTACCTACCATCTCGTATTCAACGCGCGCTCGCCGGAATAATTGTGAAATATACGCGGCCAAATGGAAAATCGGCCTCCTGAACGGCGAGCGCTGCGAGCCAAATGATAGCCGTTTGTGCATTGTCGGCCTTACAGGTAATCGGTTCACGGTCCATCGTCAGACCAATTTAAACCAATCCGTTTATTTTGCTGAGGCGGGAAAACCACTTAGGTGCATGTTGCATGCTTTGAAGTTCTTGTAGTTTCTCGGCCTGAACGAAAAGTGATCAAAAAGAATATTCAAAGTATATTTAATTTAAACTGGAAAGGATGTTGCCAAAATTTCGGATTTTAAAAATTTGGAGAAATGCTAGAAGCAAAAACACAAGACGAAGATACTAAAAGAGCCACTTTTTAAAGTCTCACCAAAAATGAACACTCGTCGTACGTTCATTTGAATTGTGTTTCTCTGACCGAGAGTTCAGAGAGTTAAATGAAGTCTACAGACATTCTTTACTGACGTGCAATCTGGAAAGTGCTAGTTCGTCTAATTTTGTGATTACTGATTCATGAGTTCTCCACCCATTGTTTACTGTTTTCAGAGACATTTCAGCTATTTCAACTAAGCTAAGAAGCACTTGTATTAATTGAATGTGTCATTAAAATCTGTTGGTTCTGAACTTCTTATCGGCAGATTAAATGAAACGCGATCTTGAAATTTCGATGCTTTGGCTTCGATAGTAGAATAGATGTAGCTAAAATTAAGCAGAAGCAGGGAGGAACAAGCCAATTCATAGAACTCCTTGTAGTTGCTTGAAACAACTGCTCGTTCCTCCCTCAAATCTGCCTCGTCTCCGCTTGGCCTTCTAAGCTCATAGTTGACCAAAGTTCTTGCATGAATGTGATTGATCGCTTTATCTAATACTTACCTGAACAAAAGTTGCAAAAGTTTCGTTTTGCACATTACGAGCAAGAAGAAGGGTCAAGAAGAGCGCCTATCTCAAGGTATAATCCATCAAATGTTTTCGCTCGCGTCTAAACGTGTCACGTGACTGAAAACTGGGGGATACCAGAGTGATATTCCTCAATTTTCAAAACTTCGCGATTTGTGGGAGACATTTCAAGAAGAATAATCACAAAAGCCTCCAATGATTTGGGGCGAAAATATGCTCGTATATTTGTCCGCGGATATTATTCGTTCCTCAAAGCTCACAGTTTGTGTGAGTCGCTGAGGAAGGAACTGTGAGCTTTGAGGAACAGATATTTGTCCGTCTGCGGACAAATAACCGAGCATATTTTCACCCCAAATGGAGACCATTGTTTATTTACTCCTGGCCAAGCAATATATATATAACTTCCGTTTTTCTCGTTCTGCAATCCATCAATTTCGGGCAGTAAATAAAACGAAAGTAGACTCATGACTATTTCATTCAAATCATCGCTGATCGCGATTTAGATTACAATTGTAAAGAATTTCATAAAAACATCCCTCGCACCATGTGACCCCGAATTCACTCGCTGATTGGAGAATTGATTGTTTTGCTCCGTGGATAAGAGCGTGCCGGAATGATGAGGAAACAGTATAAAATAAACTAAAATTGTTTGCCTGGGACTGACAGCCCGTGGCCGCTATGTATCAATCATTTTTGTCTGCCCAGCCTTAAAACCTATTTCGTCTGTTCAATTTTGATCGAACATTATCGCCTGCGGTTTTAGGCGTTTTCTTAATAAAAACTGCTTCGTAATTTGTGCTGACAGAGAGTGGCCGTTAGAAAGTACGTGACTAAAAAAAAAAACCTGCTTGTATTGTTGTAAGCATTTAACTTCAGCCGTCTACTGACTAACTGACATTTCATTACACTCTCATGCCAAATCGACCTCTTTGCACCAATTTTTGCGTTTTGAAACACGTTGTCGTGAGTCGTTTTTATAGCCGGTAGACATATTTTAAAGCAATTGACTTTTCCATGGCTACCCCATTACCGCACCATTGCTTATTTTACCGTCTTTTTGTGAGCTAAAATCTCAATTGTCCTGTTTCACACTGCAGCTTAACTACTGCTACACAAACAGGAGTTACATGAGCCCAAAGTTAATAGAGGGGAATGGTTATGAAATCCGACAAAGTTCTTTGTGGTGTATTTTTGTTTGCGTTTTTGACCTTGACGGTGCATAAAACACAATAGTTGTTTACATCTGACCGAGAAACTGACCAATAGAAACGTTTTGGTTACGTAATTCATACATAGTGTATGAGTGCAAAACAAAAAATTGTGCGCGGTCGTGGACCTTCCAACATAAATCTTGGCATCTTTGTTTGCTTCTTTGATGTTTGCCGGGCTTCATGACCATTCCCCTCTATTAACCATGATGAGCCGTGCTCGATATCTTCTTCCGAAGTTCCAACAACTCTTCATTGTCTGAACCTCATCTCCGCAGGAGATTTCACAGTTTAACTCCAATGTTTATGTTGACAAGATGTTGAGTATTCCACCCTTTTTGCGAGCAGAACTTTCCTCAGACGCAACCAGCTGAAAGAAGTGCTAGAAACTGATTAACTTAACCACTAACTTA